AGAGAGAGAGAGAAACATCTATGTGAAAGGAACACATCGAGCGGCTGCCACCCGCATGACCGACCAGGGCCGGGGACAAACTGCAACCGAGGTACATGCCCTTAGCGGCAACCGAACCCGGGTCTCTCAGGACCGCAGGCCAACGCTCTAACCGCTGAGCCAAACCGGCCAGGGCTCATTAACTTCTTACAGTCTCTCTCTCTGTCTATGCAATGTGATGGTAATTCTGATCTTAAAGGGATGTTATGAAGAGCAATAGAGGTACTCATTTATCAATATCAATGTAAGTATCCTGTGAGGTGCCAGACATTGAGCTAGTGCTTAGGTTCTAGCAGTGAACAAGCCCATCCTCCCTCTTGGAGCTTCCAGCCTATAATATTAAAAAAGGCTTTCTAAACTGTAATGGTTTGGCTTCTTCTAACAAAGGTTTGTTGCTAAGAGAATCTGGGGAACTTCACTGTAATCCTTTTTTCCTGTTAAGTAGAATTCAACCTTGCCAAGTTTCTTTAGAACCCAAATAACCTCATTATCCATTGGCTTCCTATGTAATACTCCCATGATATGTACTAAAAGAATAGTTTTATAATGAAATTTCAGTATAAACTCAGATTGTCTTTTACTACAAGAATATAAGTTAAGTATTAAAAAGTAATTACTTTTTTCTAGCATTTTCTATTGAGTCAAATAATACATGATCTCTTTGTTTAGAAATTGTGAGTATGCTGAGAGAATCTTTTTATTTTAAAGGTTAGCCCTTTGTGTAATCTTTTTTCTATGTAATTCCAAACCTCAAGTGTGTATTTATGTAGTTGTAGTTAGCCGTAGATGTTTTGAATATTTTAGATTGTGAAATATAATGAACATGGACTTAGATATCCTTTATTGCATCTTAAGTAGGTTAGAGCTCCCATTTGCTGCATTGTTTTTACTTTGGAAAACAATCGGGGAGGTATAGAAAAGTGAATGAATACTATTAAACTGTAGTTCAGATTTAGAGACTGGCCTTGAGTTTCATTCATTTGTAAATCAGAGATAATATTTATATATAGGGTTATTGTGAAAATAACATAATGGCTAATGCATGCAAAATGACATAATGCTTTACATCACATTTAGTAAGCCTTTGATAAATATTAGCAATTTTAAAAAATATTTTTCCTTTATTAATTTTAGAGAGAGAAGAAGGGAGAGGGAGAGAGAGATAGAAACATCAATGAGAAAGAGCATCAATTGGCCGCTTCCTGCATGCTCCTCACTGGGGATTGGGCCCACAACCTGGGCTTGTGCTCTGACTGGGAATTGAACCGGTGACCTCTTAGTGCGTGGGTCAACACTCATCCTCTGAGCCACACTGGCCAGGCAATATTAGCAATTAAAAAAAAAGTTGTCACACCTTTTTATTTCTGTGAAATCAGTTCCAAGTTGAGTGTTGTTGCAACTTTATTGTTTCTCATACTAATTGTTTTGATTTGACATTTCAGCTGTAATTAGGTGCTGTCCTAAAACAGAACTCTAGGAATTACCCAAGAGAATTGTTCAAAACTGAGTATTTGTATTGACCAGACTGGGGTGTTGGGTGGCATACATTACTGTAGATTAAATTCTGTTTTTTTAAGATCTAAGAGATGTGCCTATTTTTTGTTGTTGTTAATTCTCACCCAAGGATATTTTTCCATTGATATTTAGATAGTGGAAGGGAGGGAGGGAGAGAGAAAGAGAGAGAAACATTGATGTGAGAGACACATTGATTGATTGCCTCCTCTCCTGCACAACCTCTACTAGGGATCAAACCTGCAATCCAGGTTTTGAACCTCCAACCCTTTGTCCATAGGCCGACACTAACTGCTGAGCCAAACTGGCTAGGGCGAGATGTGACTTTCTTTTTAAATAGATTTTTTTTTTTTTCAGCGAAGAATGGAGAGGGAGAGAGAGAGAAACATTGATGAGAGAGAAGCATCAACATCAATTGGCTGCCTCCTGCACACCTCCTACTGGGGATTGAGTTCAAAACCCAGGCATATGTCTTGACCTGGAATCGAACCTCTTGGTGCATAGGTTGATGGTCATCCATTGAGCCACACCAGCTGGGCCAAGATGTGACTTTTTATTCTTATCATAAACCAATATGTTTGCTGTACAACTATTATTTCAGGCCTTCATAGGAAAATTTCTCTTCATCCTGAACTATTAATTGTTTTTTTTAGATCTTTAAAAAGTTTATATTTAGCATGTGATTTGCTTTTATGAGTTAATTGTATAGGTGATTACCTTAAGATAGTGCTTTCTTTTTAAGTACTCTGGTCATTTATAAGCTTGGCAATACTTTTGTGTGTTTAATATTTATGTAATATAATAAGAGGTGATGAGAACAAATATTTAAGAGACTTATGTATCAGGCAGTGTGTTAGGTGCAGAGGAAACAGCTGTGAAAAAAGTGCCCATGATCACAGCCATTGTTGGGCTTACCAAACAGGAGAGATGACATACTTGCCTAATGTTAAATGAGAGCACAGTTGAATAAGGAGCAATACAGAGTGCTGTGGGGTTGTATTAAAAGAATGGGATATACTTTATTCAGTCTGGAAGTGACAAGATAAGACTAAAAGCAAGGAGGGTAGAAAGAGCATTCTTCTACATAGAGAAAACAGCTGATGTGAAAGATTTAAGGAAAGATCCCAGTGGATTCCAGCAACTGAAAGTTTAGTGTTTATCATGGAGAGCAAGGGTAGACAAAGTTGTCAAGGTAGGTAGAGACCAAATTTTGATGGGCCTTTTAGATTTCTTTAGATTATCTTTAACTTAATGGATTTTATCTTGACGACAAGCAAGGAATTAACAAGAGCATCGCACTACTTACAGAGAATGGGAGACCTTTTGAGTTAGGATGCTCTCATACTTACAGTGAAAGCTTGGACTAGAGTGCTATCAATGGGAATAGAAAGAAGAAGATCAGTTTGAGAAAGATTTAAGAGAGAAAATTGAAATCCTCAGTGCTTGGACATATGTAGTGGGGGGAGAGGAAAGAGGTTCCAAGATGATTCCTAGGTTTCAGGGTTGAGGCATTGATAGGATGGAGATATTGTTACATATGTAACATGGAGGAAGAGTTAATCATGAGTTTGATTTTAGATGTAATGAGTTGAGGTATGGTCTTTTCTCTTTTATTTTCATCTTTTGCTTGGATTCTTGTCAGGTTTTTTGATAGGTTGAGTTGGAAAAGGAAGAGACTCAAAGGCTTCACTTGGGCTTCTGTTTAATTATGTTTTGCCCTTTTTATCCCACTCCAAACACCTGAGGGTTATCACTTCCTGACAATAACCATGACTTGCTGTGTTGATAATTCTCAATTAGAATCAATAGAAAATCAAATAGAGCTGTGAATATAAAGTTGGGAGGGTAGGATAAAGGATGTTTTGGTAGAGGAAGGTAAAATAAATTAAGGGAAGAAAATCACATAATATTCAAAAGTATCAGTTCTTCATTCTCAGGACCATTGGTTCGGTAATACTTAAAAAGACCCAGAAAAATGGTAATACTTTATGTGTTTCTCTGTTTAAATTATTGATCATTATAATGTCTAGAGAGTAGTTCCCAGAATTTAGTCTCCTGACCAGCAGCATCAGTATCAGCATCATCTGGCAATTTTTCTTTTCTTTTAAATTTTTTCTTTTATTTTTTTCCATCACCATTTATCCCCTCTATGCCCTCTTCTACCTCCATTCAAAACCCTCCCCACCGTAATCACCACACTATTGTCCATGTCCATGAGTTCCTTTCTCTCTCTCATTTTTTGCTCAATCCTCCAATCCCCTCCAATCACCCCCACCCCTGACACATACATCGGAACTGTCTGCCTGCTCTCTGAGTCTGTCTCTATTTTGCTTGGTTCATCTGGCAATTTTTAAAAATGCAAATTCTTGGGTCCCACCCCAAACTTACTCAGAAACTCTGGGGGTGGAGCTCAGCAATCTCTTTTTTTCTTCCTCAGCTGAGGACACTTTTTTTGCATTTATCTTCAGATAGAGCTGGAGGGAGAAAGAGAGGAAGAGAGAGAGAGAGAGAAACATCGATGTGAGAGAGCTACATCAACTGGTTGCTACCCGCACGACCCCAACCAGGCCTGGGGACAAACCTCAACCTAGTCACATGCTCTTAGCAGGAACTGAACCTGGGACTCTGGTCTGTGGGCTGACTCTCTAACAGCTGAGCCAAACTGGCCAGGGCAGCAATCTCTTTTAAGAAGCCCTGCAGGTACACTAAAGTTTGGGTACTTTTGATCTAGATTAAGCAGATTTTCTCTGCAAAAGGCCAGATAGCAAATACTTCAGGCTATGTGGACCATAGGTCTTTGGTGTAACTACTCAATTCTGTACTTGTAAATTGAGAAAACAGCCATAGACCTCATGTAAACAAATGGGCTTGGCTGTGTTCCAATAAAGTATATTTACAAAAAAAGACAGTGGGCACATTTGACCCAAGGGCTATAGTTTCAGACTCTGGTCTAGACTCTAGACAAGTGTGGTAGTTGTCATCAGGGGTAAATGATGACAGATTAGTGAAAATATAGGAGTTGGAGATCCATATGAATACTTTCAGATACTGGTTTATTTTCTTAAACCATTGATTGTTGATTTTTTTGTTTTCATCATCTTTCTGTAACACTACTATTATCCACAGGGAAATAATTTATCTTTGTCTTAGTGTGAAATGTATTCTCATCACTAAAAATTATAAATATCACAAAAATCAATAGAGCAGAACATCTCAGTGTTTCTACCCCCTTTGCCCCAAAAGAGAATTATTAAAATTTTAATGACAACTTTTATTTTTTGTATATCATTAATAATTATCATTTTTGCCATTAGTTTTGAAACAGTTAAGTATGGTGTATTTTTTAAAATATTTGATCTAATTGTTTATAAATGATTTGTCAAATTATGAAATTATAAATTAGTTTCAAATATATAACATTATAACTTAGTTTTTCTTATTTTTTGAAGGTTGTTTTGGAAACAGAAATAACGAATAAGTCTGCTTTGAAACTTTATGAAAATCTTGGTTTTGTTCGAGATAAGAGGCTGTTCAGATACTATTTAAATGGAGTTGATGCACTGCGACTTAAATTGTGGCTGCGTTGAGAAACTGACATCAAGGAACAACTTTCCAACCACGCAGAATCGACCTTTGCATGCAATGCAATTTGTACAGAATTGCTTTGCAGGTGGATTTAGTAATTTCCATGCAGTTCTTATCTGTCAGTGTCTCATTGAGTGTCGCACAATATTTGTTGCACTTTGGCATGGCGCATTTGTTCTGAATTAAAGAGATTGTTTTAAACTTAAAGAGTTTTTTTGGTACCAACAAGATGTGCCAGTTGATAGCCAAGATTTGTTTGTTCATTTGCAAAGTCTGCTGACAATGTTATATACACAGTGATCATTTTACCACAGAACCAGTAAGTGGAACATGATTTTTGTTCCTTAAAAAAGCCAATGTAGATTGTAAAAATCTCTAAGTATTCTAACATTTCACATGAAACCTGCCATAGTTTTCTGAAGGGGGTGGGGGAAAAGCTTCAATTTTAGGTTTTATTTTTTTCAATATTAAATTTTCCATTCTTGAATATTGGTACCTCAGTGATTAGTGAATGAAAAAAATTTAGGGTTGGTTGTGTCTTACAATGAGTAAAGATAACAATTAAATTGTGTCTGCCAGTGCCTGTGTAGATAAGTATATTTGTCTTCATCTCTCGTTTTTTAATGCATGCTACCTTTTCTTTTTCTTTTTTTAAGGCCTTTGCAAGCAAACTTGTTTTTATTTAAATTCTAAATTTGATAATAAATTATTTCAGATTTTTATAATTTGGATACTTTTCCAGGTGAGTGACAGAGTGGTTTACTTTACAGTAGGAAGTTGAATCTACTCTGAAAATATTTGAGAAATGGCTCCAAAGGGGATGAGAAACGTTAATGGAGCTGGGAATTGCTGGGTTTTGGATGCACTTTTTTTTTTTTAAGAGTGAGGGAATTTTTGGAAAAGAATAGAAAATTAATGTAAACTGGTGTGATTTTATTTAATCAAAATTATTGCTAAGCTGTGAAGAACAGCTTTTACAATGTAGTTGGAATTTTTTCCCACTTGATTAGGATTCCCATTGCTTTCATTTCTTAAAATGTTTCACTTTTGGTTCTTGGTCTTGGAAATAAATTTTAAGGTGCATTGTATCCATTTAAAACTGATTTTACTTCCACTTATTTGAGCAAATACTTTGGGGAGCTTTGCTTAGTTCCTAGAAAAACAAAAGGGAAAAATGGAATTTTTTTTTAGAATGAGTTCTTACGGCTTTTCAGTAGCCATCACCGTGTTCATTAGTTACATCGTATTTTGGCCAGTCTGTGCACTGTAACAAATTTTAAAGTTAATTGCTTTCAATTGAGTCAGGGAACCTGTGATGGATAATTTATTAAACTGGAAAACCTAGGTACCCATGAAAAAAAAATTCATTCTCTGTGAAAAATGTTTTATAGGAATCTATGTTTTTTTCTTTCATTTGGATATGCTTTACTTCTGCTCTAGGATTTGGTTTGAATTTATGACTATGATTACTGTATTTTTAAAAACCCTACCTCCATTAACAGTTGGTAAAAGCCCCCTTTCAGGAAAGTTTGTTGTTGTTTTTTTTTAATTTTTTTTAAAGGAAAGCTGCTCTTTGCTCAGTGTAATGTCTTGAAAGTGAACATGGTAACAAGAACTTTTAAAATAAAGATACACAGATTTGGTGAAAATCTTTCTGCTGGTGGGATCATTTACAGTTCCTTATTTTTAAAGAAAACTTTTTCTTTCCATTTTATATTGCTCTTGAAAGTGTAATGGGTTGAATACTGGTTACATTAAATATATGACCACCCAATACTCAGCTTTCCAGCTGACCATTGTATGTTTTTGGTCAAACTTCATTTGGGCTCTAGCATTTAGAGGAATGCCAATCATTGTGATGCTTCTGTTTTTTAATGTGGAGGGAACTGAACTAAAACAGTGCAGTACTTACATTATCAGATTTTATCTCACCACTTTATATTTGACTTGCTGGTTCATAGGTAATGATTGTTGATGAACATACATTTTACTTGACTCACTAATGGGGCAGTTCTAAAGTAGATACATGCTGGATTTTCAATTCAACCACTATGTTTTGGGCAGGTTGTCAATGAAACCACTACTGACCTTTTCCCTCAGAACTGATCAAGTTTTGCCGAATTGACTGGGTATTTGTAACTATGATCTTAACCACGTGACTAAAAAGTCATATGGTTGACATATTGTTTGACTGGTTTATGTTGAATAACAGTGTTCACTTTATGTCTTTAATTGGGTATGCAAAAATTGTTTACTTAAGTAGACTAAAATTTTAACCTCTAGCATGATAATCTAGCACCAGTACTAAATCTCTATTCCAGTTTGAAAGAGCATCAAATATTAATTCACTTTTTGATATTGGGCTTTTATTTTTCTTACATAATCTTAAAACAATTCCATTTAAAATTGATAAAGTGAGTTCACTTGGCTAAAACTGAGCAAAATTGGTGCAACTTTCTTTTAAAGGGGTGCTGCCTCTTTAAGACTGACTGTGCTATCCACTGACACTAGTTTGGCAGTTAATACTGCTGAACATTTTTTATATATGCTACCATGAAGCTATATATGTTAGTATTGAAGAAGCTAACGGGTAAACTACCATTTTTGATGTGTGGACTGATTATAATTTTCCTTACATTAGAATAAAACTACTCGAGAGAAGCCCACAGATCAGAAACCAGACATTAGTTTTTAAAGTTGAAGCCAGCAAAATTAAAAAAAAAAAGGAAAAGATTACTATTAAAAAATTGGTTTTAATATTTTCTGCCTCTTCCCTAAATTACCCTCTCCACTTGCTTGACAAATCTATGTAAAGGATTTTGTTTGTCACATGTTTTAACTTTACCTTGCCCTGTGTTATGGTATTGGCTGACATGTATAAGACTGGATGTGTATATTATGGTGTCTAAAAATCATGAAATTCATCACTTTTCAGGAGCATAGATAAAAGCAAATTGGTAGTGCATCAGAGTTACTTTTCAGTGCACCATGACATCACTAAAATGAGTGCTATAATGTTACAGGGCTTTCAGGTTTGTAAAAACATAACCATAAATTATATTGACGTCAGATATGAGTTGAGTATCTATAAAATATCACGTGTATCTCAAAATATTGGACTGCTGTTTGATGACTGGATATTGCTGCATAATTTTTCTTCTATTGTCCCAAATCCTTTTGGAGAGAGAGATTTAATGGGATTTGAAATGTGCAAGCTGTCTAAATAAGATGCAGTCAAATAAAGTATGGTTACGTTGTGTTTGCATTTTTCTTTTAGATACAGCTGTGTGCATTTTTGATTGAGTTGTTTTATTTACTAAGGAAAAAACCCAAGCAATCGACTCTGTTCCCCACTTCCTGCCTCTAATTTCAGAGTTACATGGTAGAAGTGGTATACAATTGTTATATCTACTTTGTGTTCTGACAAAGTAAATTAGAAAATAACAACATGAACTTGAATTTCCTGAAAGTATTCAATGTTAGTCAACTCACTTGTCAGGTATCAATACAAATGATCATACTAAACCAAAATTTTTTTGTCCTTATTTCATAGCATTTTATTCCTAAGACAGTTTTTATTTCAGTTTCTTAAATTTGTTGTTCTTAATTGTTTTTAACCCTTACTAAGGCACCAAAGTAACAGAGCATTATATAAAGGACTCTTTGCCCTATTGTAAGAAGCTTTAAATGGTGTTTATGTATACTTGCATTATCAAGATTTATGGATATTAGTGGAAGAGATCTGTTTTAATCGTGACTGCTAAATTTTATCATGCATACCAGATCTTCACTTTTGTTCTTTTATAGTCATGTTTTGAAAATACCCGAGTTCACCTTATATGGAACTTTAAATACTTCATACATTGTCTAAATAAGGACCAGAAAGTTGATACTTTTTTTTTCACACCTATGAACAGAGATCAGTATTAACCTGTAGCCCAGAAATAATAGTGACACTTTTAAACAACTTTAAAAAAAGATGATTTTGAAAAGTCTCAGGAGCATATGGCACACTGCACTTTTTTCAGATCAGTGCTAATAGCACTTTTTATGATGACAGGAGTTTTCTAACATAGCTGCAGAGCACCTGAAGAGTAGCAAGCATAAAGAAATGATTTTTTGTTTAATTAATTGAAATATAAATAGCTACATGTGGCTAGTGGCTACTGTATTGGACAGCATAGCTTTAGATAATACATAAGCAGTAAACGCTGTGGGAAGCATGTTTCAAATAGAATTTTAAAGACCATACTATCTTGAAATATGAAACACAAGAATCATGACTGAAAATTGTCTCTGAGCAAAAGTGTATAGCTTCATTGTTTATGTTGACAATTTATTTCATTAATACAGTATCTGACTAACTCCCTGCCCCTGTTGTGTAGTACTGAGGAAAAGAGCCAGTTCCAGTTTTTATTTGCAAGCCCTTGCAGTTGCAGAGAGGCACAGATTCAAGTGCCAAAAGTTGGTTTCTAATGAGACCGTTATACCTTTAGCATTAAAACATTTTACATAGTTAAGCCTAATAACTCATTTTAGATGAATTTGAAATCTTTTTACCTCTAAATGAGGTTGATCTCATTACCAGTGGTTATATTGGAACATGGAAGAATATCATATTTATACTTACTATTTTTTAAATCCTGGAAGATCGATCATGCAGATGCAAAGGCAAGTGTTTTTGTTTCTGAGAGAACCAGATTAATTTTTGCTGTATTCTCTGGCCACCGTGTGTCACCCTTGATTCTAGCTGGTCATGTAAGTGATTCATCAAAAGGACAGGAGTGGGGATGGAAATGCCAAGCTTGGTACAGCCTGTTAAGACTGCTGGAGAGAGCTCAAAGCACATGTTCTCTTGAGAGCAATCAGTGTTTAATCATATGAAAAAGACCGAGGAATGACAGACTACCGAAGTGCCAAAATCTATCTTCTACTTTAAAAAATGTAAACAATGCAGGGGTTAAATGTAAGGTTTTTAAAGTGCTAAGAAATAAGCTCATTTTTAGTTATGGATTTTCATGACTACCTCTTTGCTGTATAACTATATCTCAATTTTCTAATACCTCAATTTCCTGAGAACCTGTATGTACATTTTTATAAATAAAATAATTTACCATATGCTAGGGGAAGGACCTGACTTTTAAAGAAGTTGTATAAAGACATTTATTACTGGATTTGTTACACAGTGAATCGATTTGAAATTTCTTAAAAATGTCTTACAGCTTTTTTTGGTCCCCTTGACTGAGGTTTCTTTCTAACTAAACATTCTTATTTAGTAAGATTTGTGTTCCAGAAAGTGTGTACCCTCATTTGTTCATTTGCAACTGCAAAGATTTGTATGTCTCCTATGTTTTACTTTCATGCCAAAGAAACCCTTTTTAAAAGCCAGCAGGTTGCACTAACTTAAAAAAAAAAAAAGTTTGCTTCTTAAATAGCCATTTTTATGTTTTATTTTCTGGGACTTTAATAATTTTCCAGAGGAAAATAATCTTCAATTGTTTTTGTTAATGCCATTAGTAATAATTTGTAAATGCATGTATTTTTAGGAATGCAGTGGTTCCATTAAGGAAACAATATTGACAATTTTAAGCAACTGTTCTGTGATACAATCCACAATTGCATAAAACTTTTGGAAGCTGATATAAGATATAAAGTAATTATTAAATTTTATGTATGTTTATCAGCTATTCAGCATTCAATGCCCTAATATATAGGGGATTGATCACTATCATTTTTAGGGCCAGATTCTCATGATTATACCTGGTTATTCATCATTTTAAGGAGGCTGAACCTGCTGTCTTAAAACTAAGCCTGCTGCCTTTAAACTTTGCTACCTCCCACCCTCCCTCCAATTGTGGCTGTAAATAGTGACTGCACAGTCAGCTAGCATTATACTTGATTTTATTGTGAATGCAAATAAAAATTGTAAGTCCACCAAGCATTGACTTAACTAGGTAAATGTAAACTGATTTCAACCTTGTCTTTGGCCAAGTTGGCCTGATAGTTTATAATTTGGAAATGAAGTATATCGTTATGGATGTGAGCATTGTGTTTGAGTTATTGTGGGAATAATTATTTTCTTCACATTTTGAGTGGATAATGAACATTCAAAGGGTTTATTTTCATCCTGATGATACTGGGTAAGTTTTTTAACCTCTCTGAGCTCTTAATGATAACTACTGGGTAGGCTTTTTGAAAAATTAATGACATAATTTATGTAAATCACCTAACAGTGCCTAGTAGCTTAGTACAGAGTAAATAATAAATGATAAGTATTACTGATATATATAACAGTAGTATATAATTTCATATTTGGGCATTAGGTTTTATAGAAACACCATTTAAATGGTAAATCATCTAAATACTACATTAGATCTTAGGAGAGTAGCCCAAACTAGTAAGTGAAGTGAAAGAACTTTGCCTTTTTATTGTGGAGAATATTAAAATAGGTAGAAGTATATAATGATCTCTCCATGTACTTAACCAGGCCCAAGACCCATGGCTGATCTGGTCCCATCCATTCCCCACCCATCCTTCTTATAAATGCCAGAGATTATATTTTATTTATAAATATTTTGGTACTTATCTCAAAAGGCCTAATTTTTAATAGCAAAACCACAGTACTGTCATACAATACTCTAATTATTATGTATCCAGTATTAATGCTCCAGTTTTTTGGAAATTGTTTTTAATAGCAGTATTGAGATGCATAAGAAGTGGAGAGTAAATATAATAACTAAGAGGTTACTCTCAAAGAGGATACAAGATTTCTATTACAAGAACAGTAGACACTTTAGGTAAGTTTGGAGGTGCAGACAAATGATTACAGGAAAGAAAAGTGGAAAAGTAGAGGTAAGGTTGAAAGGAGGGTTGTGTCTTGTATCTCAAGTACCTAGTGTTTTCCTATAAGCATAATAAGACACTGGGAAAAAAATGGAGTTGATGAATATGGTAAAATTGCCAACAGACAGAAATGACTTTAAGAGAGAGGGTTGGATTTTTGAAATAGAATCTGTGAAGCACAGCAGAAAAAATACTGGGTGAGCAGGAGAGAAAAAATAGGTGGTTAATATAGGGACACAATTTTTCCCCCTAAGGTTGTTGATCCATGGACTACTTTATAAGAACCTGAAACATTATGGATGTTCTCTCCCAAACACATTTTTAGACAAAAATTCCCAAACCTTAAAATTATTTGGAAAAAGAACAATGCTTTCAAGGAGATACCAGTAGCCTTTGACATAATTGTCAGTCTAAATATTCAAGATTTAAATGCTGAGCCAATGGCTGTAGACCCCATAGCATTCTCAGCCTGAAAAGACAAAGTAATTTTGCATTTCTTTTCATAAATTGTCCTTAGGACAGCAAGATGGCTGGAGGGCCTGTACATAATTGGGACATTTACCTTTTCTGCACTGTTTTCTGCACTGTTTTAGTTATGACCTCAGGCAAATTGCTTAGTCTCCTGTGCCTGGTTATCTATCTATCTATCTATCTATCTATCTATCTATCTATCTATCTATCTATCTATCTCCATCCATCCATCCATCCATCATCTATTTGTTTTTTTTTTTTAGAAATATTTATTTTTTTGTGAATCCTCACCCAGGGATATTTTTCCATTGATTTTTAGAGTGGAAGGGAGGGAGGGAGACCGAGAGCAAGAGAGAAGCATCGATGTGAAAGAGACACATTTATTGGCTACCTCCTGAACGACACCAACCGGGTCAGGGTTGAACCTGCAACGCGGGTACATGCCCTTGACTGGGAATTGAACCCATGACCCTTCGGTCCCTGAGCCAACACTAACTGCTGAGCCAAACTGGCCAGGGCTTGGTCTTCATATTTTTACGGTGGAGTGATTACAGCAGCCTCTCTTTGCAAGGATATTATAAGAAAACATTGCAAAGAATGCCCTGAGTGACTTGATTGATGATTGTACCGTACATAGTGCACTGGACTGGCCTTCAGCAAAACTCTTTCTTCTAGGTGACTCTTTTTCATGTTGTTGCTACTTTCCTAGCTCCCGCTATTTGGTACTGCTCTAGGGTGATATGTCTCCTACTCAGATGGAAGGATTGAATCAAAAGAAGGCCCGACATATAGACCAGTGGAACAGAACTGAAAACCCAGAAATGGACCCAAGGCAATATGCTCAATTAATATTTGACAAAGGTGGCAAGAGCATACAGTGGAGTAAGGACAGCCTCTTTAATAAATGGTGCTGGGAAAATTGGACAGCTACTTGGAGAAAAATGAAACTAGACCATCAACTTACAACCTACACGAGAATAAACTCAAAATGGATAAAAGACTTAAATGTAACTCATGAATCCATAAAAATCCT